CGTGCAGGCCTCATTCACACCACTGTCTCCCCTGCCTGCCTGCAAGGGCCTGTTTTTGCCTGGTGCACCCACTGCCTGTAAAGTCTTAATAAAAGTGGGTTAAGATCTGAGTTTTGGAATCACAGTCACATACATCCGGTTTTGAGCGTGGGTCTGCTGTGTGACCCTAGGCCAGAAATTTACCTTCTCTGAATCTGTCTTCTCATCTGGGCAGTAGCAAGAATAATAGTATCTACTTAACAGGGTGGAAGCTCTAGGGGGGCCTCAGAAAGTGCATGCACAATGCCCAGCACAATGTGTGGCTCATAAAAAGCTCTTAATAGTGGGTGCTCAACATGGGTTTGCAGAATGAAGATCTTGACCATCTGGGTCTTGTCTCTGTCATTCAACTTAGGTGTACAAGTACCTCATACATGCTTCCTACATAATTGTAGTTCAAAAGAAAATGAAAATGTTCAATAAAATGACAGAATTAACACGTTTCACTTTTGTTCTGTAAAATGAACCGCTCTGTCTGTAAAATGAGCCCCTCTTCGCAGAGCCAGGCAAGGATTCTAAGGTGGCCCCAAGACCTTCTGCAATGGTGAGGGCCACTTCCTGGTGCCCACACTGGCCTGTCCTGTCATCTCCTACTGGCAGGCATCCTGAAAAACAAGGCAGATGTCCCTGGGCCCACTGTGATGGTAGGGTGGGGCCAGTTTCCATGGGGGTCTTTGACAGGCATCCATGCAGGACCTGGGGGGGTCTTAGACAGAGTCCACTGGAGGCCAGGCTGCCTGGCAGGAGGCTGAGGCTCTTCCAGTCGCCACCTAGGAGTTGGGGATTGAGAACCCCTCCAATCACTGCCAGTCTTCTACGTAGATGCGTGGACCCAAGAAGTTGGAAAAGCAGAAGGGAGATACCACTGCTTAGTTAACATTGTGCTACTTGGGGCAGAAAAATACACACCTGACAGGTACCTGCTCTAGCCTGGGATTGCTCTTCTGCCCTCCTCTGCCCAGATTCCAGTTGACATTGCCAGTCTCACTGAGGACAGAGCAGCCTACAGGTGTGGGAAGAAAGGTCAAGGGGAGTGGAAGTCCTTGTCCAGGTAAATGACATGTGGAATTAGAAGAGCTGGGGCAGCTGGCTGGGCCTCCCTCATGTCAGTTGCTTGCTTCCAGAGCCCTAGAACTGGCACAGCCAAGAGTGACAGATCCACAGGGCACTGGAGTTGGAGTCCCCCGGGCATTTAATCCCTGGGTAGACTATCAACAGTCCTGTGTTTCTCTCAAATAGGGAGAAGCTCCGCCATTTGCAGGATCAGAGGATGGTTAGCTCTGCTGACCTGACAGAAGGCTCCGGTCCATAAAGGGTAGGTCCATGTAGGAGGATCTGGAAAAAACTGGGACTGAAATTGCATTCTCTAAAGACAGCAGACTGCCCTCACCCCACCTACCTGACCCTGGGTTCAGTCTTCTCCATTGGATGAACAGAAATGTAAGCTGTCACATTAACTTATTACCAGTTTTGTGTCTGTCTTCTCTCTAGAATATAAGTGCCACAGAGACCAGCTAGGTGTGTCTTGCACACTCAGGTCTGCAATACTGGTATTGGTCACTATATTGTTGTGAAAAGGAGGCAGGAGGAGAAACTGAGTAGGTGAAGGGAGGCCCATTTCCTGTTACCTAAGACTATGGGGGACAGGTAGAGAGAAGAGCCAGAAGTCGGGCATGATTTCCAGAGAAGTTTGGGAGAAGAGGCTGGAATTGCTGAGCCTCAGACCCCATGTCAGCCACAGACATGAGTGGACAGGGGAGATGGGTTTACATCACTGGGCAGTGATATAAACAACGGTTCAGGAAAACAAACGTCTCTCCCTTCTGCATGTTCTCTTTACAAGGCCGGCGGTACCATTTGGGTGGGTGGGCAAGGTTGAAAGACCACCCTATTTCCTTCCTCCTCTTCCTAAAGCCCTTCTGTCTCAGAAGGTGGCTTCTTTTCACCTGTCTCCCACAGATAGAGCCTGATGCTGGTTTTCTTCTCCATGGATGGTTAATAAAACCTTGGGTGACACTAATTGCCATCAGGCATTCGGGACCCAATGAGAATCACCTTCCTTGAAGATTGCAGCACCTTGGATCCCCAGGGCCTTTGAAAGCCTGCTGGGTCTCTCCCCCAAACTGCACCTCCAGTTCCAAACAGATGGGGGATTGCTGAAAGGGTGAGAATATGCTTCCCAGGCCCCAGGAGAAGCTGAGGTAGCAACAGCTAGCCATGGGAAGGAGGGAGGCTTCCAGGAATGGTTCCAGTCTCTTTTCCAAAAAGAAATGTCACTTTTCTGAATGAGAAGGAAATTCACAGCGTCAAGAGGGCTAAGACCAAGGCAGGCAGAAGAAGACAGATAGAGCAGCCTGTCCCTGGCCTCCCTTGTGACCTACCTTGCCCACACTCAGTCTGGCTGAATGCTGAAGAACTGAAGAATGCGGGATGACCCTCCAGACCACAGCCCATTACTCCCATAGGAGCTATGTTCATAGGAGTGAAGTACCTACCCCTCAAGAGCAGAGGGGCATGAGTCCTGGGGGGATGGAGCTTTCTGGCCAAAGATGCCACAAATCATGGCCACTGATCCAATGTCTGGCTGAAGGTTGATGGATGACTTATCCAGGTATGCTCTGGGCTGTGCTCTCATGGAAAGGGCCTGCAGATGGGAAACCACCTGATTCCTCCCCTCTCCCCCCATCCCCAGTTAGCAGGTGCTTGGATGAGATACAAGAGGGGTATTTCCAAGCACCACTTTAGGACCCTAAAACATGTTTGCAAAACAACCTGTAGGAAAGGAGCAACATCCCCAGCAACAGCAAGGTTTTTTCCCCAGTTGCGCCAGGGACTTAGCCCAAAATAATCTGAGCCAGTGAGCTCTGGAAGGCCTGAGATGAGCAGTTTGGAAGCTCCCCTGATTCCCACCCAGTCGCCCCTAGAGCTCCATGCAGGTTCTGGGGGTGAGGGGAGGGTGCCCCCTACCCGTTCCTCTGCAAAGCAGCCGTAAAACACCTCGGCGGGGAATGTGTTTTCTTTGCAACGGAACTTCGGTGGCTGCGGTGGCGTCTAGCGGGGAGAAATGAAGCCGCCGCAGCCAGTCGGCCGGCCTCTCTCGGGCCCCTGCGCTGGCCTGCAATGGAGAGGGAAAATAAAACATAAAACGGGGCCGTGCGGAATCGCGAGGTCGGCTCTTGCCAGAGTCTCATTAAGGAACTGCGCGCGCCCCCAGGCTGAGAATGCGGAATGGACACGTGGACAAGGGAGGGGGCCAGGGATGCTGGGGGGTGGGGGTGGGGGTCTCCGTGGCGCGCGAGTCGTGGGCTGCGCGCTCCGAGGCCACGTGATCACAGGGAACCGCGAGGGGAGGGGAAGGGAGCGAGTGCGCCAGGCACGGCGCCCGCTGCTGCCGGGGTGGGCGCCGAATCCCGGACGGGGGAGGAGGGCGGGCGAGCGAGCGCGAGTGTGTGTGTCTCTCTCGAGTCATTTACGGCGGAGCAGCCGGCGCGAGCGCCGAGGAGGCGGCGGCGGCGGCGGCTGCTTCGTGCCACGGTGGCTCCCCCCACCTCCTATTCCTTTTTGCGCCTCGATTCTTCCTCTCCCCCCCACACACGTCCATGGGGTGCTGGCCCCCCCGCCGGCACCTCCTCTCGGTTGGACCCTGTAGGCACCAGCTGCCGCCTCTGTGGCCGCGGGCTGCGCGGGCGCCGGGTGCCCCGGCCCCTGGCGTGGCGCCCGCATCTCGCCGGCCGCAGCCCGGGCTTGGCGCGGCGCTCCGCTCGCCCAAACTGACTCCGGGAGAGCGAAAGCCTGTGTCCGCCCGCACCGAGACAACCAGCTAGCGGGCGTCCGGGGGCAGGGCGGGGGCGGCGGGGAGAAGGAGGCGCCGGAGACTCTGAACCCCGGAAAAGTTCAAGGTTTGTACAGGTCTCCTCCAAGGAAAATAAGAGGCTAGGCGGGGCAGCGCACCCCTCTCTGTGTTCAGACAGCGAGACCTGGGGCGAGAGCGGGGCCACCCAGGGCTGCCGCGGGCTGGTCGAATCCCTCTCCAGCCTATTACGCCGACGACCGAGAGGCTGGAGTCGATGCCTGGGGCAAGAAAGGCTCAGGTCTGACGCCTCAGCCGGCTTTCCGGCTCCCCCTTCTCCAAGCCCCATCTCCATGGGGCAGCGGGTTCTGGCCCAGACACCCCTGCCCCAGCCGCGGGGCCGGTGCCCGGGCTGGCTGCACTGAGCCGGCCTGTGTGGCGCCCAGGCCCGGGTCGAGACTGGGGAGAGCTCTGGAGCTGCGAAGCGTGAGCTGCGAGGGGATAAGCTGCTGGCCGCCAGCCTCGAGTATTCCGTCCCAGTGTCGCCTAGGGTGGTGGCGACCCGCTTCGCCGGTCTCAACACTGCACGGAAACTTTTCCTTTTCCAGATGGATTAAAGTTGCCTGGATTTTCTTCTCTTTCTTTGCGAAAGAAATCGTTCGTTTGCACCTAGCCTGGGATTTTTCTGCTGGAGCTGCTGCAGGGTGCTTGGAGGAAGGAAGCCACGCTGTCCACGTAGGGTTACTACCGAAACCGAAGAAATTGGAGCTTGCTTTGGAAGTCGACCACCTCGAGCGAGTTCAGATTCAAGACGGGCCGCGGGGCCGGGAGATCGAGCACTTGGCCCTAGGCAGCCCGGGAGACGTCCGTGGCCTCCGGGACCACACGTGCGGCTCCCCCCTCGCTGCACAGATCCTGCAGGGGGCACCAGCCAGGGGAGGTGGAGGCTCCTCCCGCCCAGTACTGCGCCCCCACCAGCTTCCAGGGTGTAGCCGGCCGCGCCCGGGACGCCCCCTCCCCTCAAAGTGTCCCCGAATTGCACTTCCTGGCCCCCAAAGCCTCAATAGAGACGGCTAGACCCCACGGCTACCCTGAATTGAATGTGACAAAGCCCAGCCTGGGGCTTAGTCGTCGACGTCTGTTGCCCCTTCGGCCCCCTCCCATTCCTGCTTCGGCCATGGCCCCAGGGATGTCGGGCCGCGGCGGCGCCGCCCTGCTCTGCTTCTCGGCGTTGCTAGCCCACGGTAAGTGT